CAAAGGGTTTGACTCCCCGAGCGAAAGAAATTGCGATGAAGAGACCCCCAGGGCGTCGGTGCTCCGCCGCAGGAGGGACAACTCCGAACTTATGCTTTCGGGGCCAGACCRGCTGGCCCTATCGACAGCCTTGTGTCATCCGAGGAGGTATACGCCGTCTCTGCAAGCACAAATTCTGACTTAGAGGCGTTAGGTGATAATCCCACGCACGGTAGCTTTGCACCGCTGGCTTTTCAGCCAAGCACAATTGCCAATTGTGCGAACCAACGGTTCCTCTCGTACTGGGTTGGATTACCATTGTGACGGCGGTGCATCAGTAGGGTAAAACTAACCTGTCTCACGACGGTCTAAACCCAGCTTACGTTCCCTGTTGGTGGGTGAACAAATAAGGCTAAACCCAAACTTTTCAATTCGCGTTTCGCAGTTGCCACTCCCTTGCGGCGGACGTTGCCAGAGGGTTCGAAGGCCGGGGCGCCCTACTCCCCGAGGGGAGGAACCGGTAACAAGGTTTGCGAGCCTGTTCAGATGCAATCGTCCCATTTCCCAATTCTTGGATCGCCATTTCGTCGCTCAATGGCAAAGGGCCGCTGGTATCTTTCATCATAAAGCCCTATACGAGTCATAAGAGTTGTGCAGATGTTCAGGTTGTATGGAGGAGAAATGCCAATCATGGGCAAGCCTCCTGTCGAGGACCTGATGCGCTTGAGAAACTACATCTACACAACTTTCCCCTTCCAGGAYGGAAGGGGTAGGACTTGCTGTCGCCAAATCTTCCACCCTAATCCTTGAGAGCAAGTCCTTTCGTTCCCTACCAGTGGAGAGGGTAGGACTTGCTCTCCACATATTTGCTACTTCCACCCTAGATTGACAGCAAGTCCTTTCGCACGTTGAACTAGAACTAATTCTAAAGCACTTTCATTCTACGGCTCTCCCGTGCCCTCCACATCCACAAGGATGCAAGGGTCGAGCTCCAAGACTCACCCCAACAAGCGAAGAGGCAAGTGGGCAAGATCGCCAGGAGGCAGGTAGGGGAGACCCCTAACTTGTCTCACGACGGTCTAAGCCCAGCTCACGTTCCCTGTTGGTGGGTGAACAATCCAACACTTGGTGAATTCTGCTTCACAATGATAGGAAGAGCCGACATCGAAGGATAAAAAAGCAACGTTGCTATGAACGCTTGGCTGCCACAAGCTAGTTATCCCTGTGGTAACTTTTCTGACACGTCTAGCTTCAAGTCCTGAAACTCTAAAGGATCGATAGGCCATGCTCTCACAGTTTGTATTCGTACTGGAAATCAAAATCAAATGAGCTTTTGCCCTTTTGCTCCACACAAGATTTCTGTTCTCGTTAAGCTCATCTTAGGACACCTGCGTTATCTTCTAACAAATGTGCCGCCCCAGCCAAACTCCCCACCTGACAATGTCTTTCGCTTGGATCGGACAGGCCACGAGGGCCTGCACCTTGGATCGAGAAGCAGGGGC